ATTTCAAAGCATTGGATAATAAACTCAATATATGTAATTTTATTCTTTAAAAAAAAATTCAAAATTGATGGATAATAAACTCCCAAATATAGGTTAGACGGTTTAAAGAACTGATACTAAACATTTAAAATTGATCCGCTTATAAACGCTCAAAACTAACACTTTAAAAGACTCTCATAACGGGTATGCTGAAACTTCCAAGCAGGCCTTAATAATGTGAGAAAAATATTTTTCGAAATTTTAAAATTATTGTTTTTCTTGCGAATTATGCTACACAAATAGGCTAAAAAACTGGTTCAAAAATAGGATGCACATGTATCAACGCATGATTTGACTGTTTGAAAAATAAAAACAACAAATACTCAATCATCTTCTGTCAAGTCAGTCTGTTTTTCTTTCCTGTCTTTGAGCCTGAACAAATATCATGTTCCTTTTCCTTACTTATTTAAAAATACGAGTGGCAAATAAATATTTTATACCATTAGAGACAAAGCTTGTGTTTGATTTAGATAAAATTTAAATTTTCAGTAGATTTAGATAAAAAAAAATGATGAAATGTATAGTTGAAAAATTGTGAATTATGTGAAATGTGTAATTAAAATTAATTATTGACTTTGATTTAACTTTAATCAAACTTGTAACTGAACCATGGACAAAATATGTCAATTGATAGAAGATTAAGAATAAAAAAATACAATAAGAAAGTTGGAAACACAAGTGTTAAAATGAAATGAAGTTAGCAAAATAGGTAGGATGAATATAATAATGAACATAAAATAATGTTATTTCGTATTTCATCCTCAACTTTTGTGCAAAGTGGCAACATGTCCAAGCCTTTTTCTTACCATCCCCAACATTTCAATAATCAGTACAATTAGTTCACCAATTAGTTATATTAAGATAATCTGCACGCGAGGCCAAGAAGTCTGGGCTAAAACCTACGTGGGGCTCACAACGTACGTGTTAGTTCGTTACGAGGTTCAATGATCGATATATTGGTTCCAACTCGTAAGTGCGAAAATTATGGGGTTGTTCGAGCCCCATTTTTTAAAATCATTTTTTCAAAACTCATTTTCAACCACAAATTTTTTAATAAAATAATATTACACATAAATCGATAACTTTTTTTAAAATTTTTAATCACGTATTCTCCAAAAATCACTATTAAAAAAGAATTAAGCTCTTTTGCTAGAGAAAAATATTAGCCACCTTGGTTAACTTACCTTCACATGGGAGTGTGGACCTGTGCGGGATCCATGAAAATAAAAAATTCAAATAAAGTGTTTTCCCTATTGTGAATGTGTTGTTAGAGAGGATGCCGAATCCTCATTGGCAGCATAGCAACATTAATTCAAAAATGCATGCATTTTTTTTCTCAAAATGGGGTTCAAACAAGGGTTATGTATAAATAGATATTTTAAAAGGATTAAGATATTTGTACAAACTTTGGTTAACAAAAATTTTTACTCACTCTCACAAGCATGCGGTTCCCACATGGGTTAAATAATTCCGACATATAAACCCCGCCTTCCCATTGTGAATATAAGTAAAAGAGTTTATACAAAAAGTATTAGTATATATAACATCTTCCATTTTAAAATATGGAACGATTTCATCCCTCACTTACAACATTTACAAGTAGAAATTCTCTCTTTACAGGCAAATGCATATTTCCCTTCTCCTTCTCCCGGATAGTCCATCGATCTCTTCTTCACTATCAAATTCTTCTTCTCCAACACTTCTACCATCAGATCCCTTCCCTACTCCATCTCCGATGATTCGGTAACATAGAATCTAATGAGTCCTTTGATTGGTAAGTGGAAGCTTTGACGTTGGAGTTGCAGGAGAGTTCATATATTGAATCGTCATCTGGAACAGTGTCTGAATATTCTAGGAAAAATTTGTTGAAGTTGAAGAGTGAAAATTTACAAAGTAAGGATTCGAAGGTGATTACCAAATTGAAAGATTCCAGTGTTAATTTTATCTGTCAGTAGTTTTTCTATTTCGTTCATCATTGTCTCCATCAATGTTAGTGACGTCTACTTCAATAGAATTGGTGATAACTGGATTTGTTGGTGAGTTTTTTCAATTAGTTCGTTGGCCAATTTTTTGTGACGGTTGATTCGACTTGTAGAAGTAGGTTGTGGCGCAGTGGCGTTTGCTATTTAGAGTTGTAGTGGTGGGCTGCGATGTGTGTGTGTGTAGATCTGTGTACGATATTGAGCTAAGTTTTGGAGACGGTGGTAATGGTTTGAAAGCAGTGGCGGTGTTGCGGACGGTGGCGCTGTGGTGGGATAGAATGGGTCAATGAAGAATGGTTCAGAGGCTGGATAGTGACTTAGGTGGTGGTGAGGCAAAATAGGTCAAATAAACAGCGATTGTGACCAATAATTGGATAATTGTATCCAATAAAATGAATAAACTGTGACAAATAAATTATATATGACCTAAAAATATGTGATTTACAATTTGAATTTCTGTGATCGATAAGTAAGTTGTGACGAATTAATTCGATAATTTATTATTGAGAAATAACTTGTGACAAATTAATTTGATAATTTGAGATCGTGAAATAAGTTGTGATTTGTGATCTAGAAATAAAGTTGTGATAAATTAATTTGATAAATTATGATCGAGAAATAATTTGCAACCAATTAATTTTATAAATAGTGATCGATAAATAAATTGCACCTTATAAATTTTGTTATTTATGATCGAGATAAGTTATGTGATTGTATCTGACGAAGTCTGCATTAATAGTGACATGTGTAACCATATATCTGTTAAATGTGAGTGTTTGTGACAGATCATGTTTACATTTAAAGTTTGTGATCGCTTTTATGTTGTCTGTAACCAAATATGTGTTAATTGTAATTAATTATATATTCATTATAATTGTCTGTGACCCGATCTGTTTTAATTGTAATTGTATATGACAAATTTAACAATGACTTGGTCATATGTCATCACAGTTAAGATATATATGTTCACAAATAATAACAGTTTACATAGACATTGCCACAAATAATAAAATCTTATACAGATCTGATCACAAATAGTCACTGTTAATAGAACGTGATCATATACATCACAAAACATGTTGTCAATATGTTACAATCATGCTAAGACTTTATGACATATGAAAACCTATTCAAAAATTTTAAATTTTTATATCACAAGATGAATTCAACAGTTTAGATCAACAATAAATCTTATTTGAGGAATCTTACAATTCAACCTATCCAGGAATACAATTTGTAAACAAAACGAAAGAAGAATGACTTTAGAATTGCTTCACAATGAAATATAGATATTTCTAATCATCGAATTCTTCGACTATTGCGTTTCGACAACTCTCCTCAAATTGAAATCCGTTTACAGATTAATCATAAAATTGACGATTACATTTTGACTCACTCGTAGAAATTTGCTCTTGAAGAAACATACTCATCAAATAATGGCAAATTGTAATACTAATTTTGGAATGGTTTTTGGATGTAATGGAGATGTAAATGCACTGAGTTCCTAGATCTGTAGAGTAAGAAAGAGAAAGTAATTTTGGGGAGAAATTATACTAATTAGGAGATAATTTTGGAAATCAGGGATTCTGAAGAGAAAAATATATTATTTGATTGTAGGTGGAGAGATATAAATGTTAGAATTCTATATTTTTGGGATCTAGTTTGAATTATATTTTATTCAAAAATAGATTATAAACACACACACAGACACACACACACATACCACCTAATTTTTGAGATTAATTTGCAAGATTGTTAGTTATGAATGCTATTCTTAGAGTCTAGTAGTTGTGTATTTAATTTTGTAGTCATGCACCATGTGCTCATAAATAATATTGAAAAAGTGTGCTTTATTGAAATTTGTCAATTCCACATTGAAAGTGTGTTTTATTAAATTTTGTCAATCCCACATTGAAAGTTTATCAATTATGGGACTCAAGAAATGGTTATTAAAAAGTTCCATAGGTAAAGAAGTGAGTATGTGGGTTTCCATCTTTAAGGTAATTGTTTTATTATATAATTTTTCTATTATTATTATTATTATTATTATTATTATTATTATTATTATTATTATTATTATTATTATAATGGCTGTGGATACTGGTCCGAAATTGTAACCAGTTCCTGATTTTCGGTTTAATTGATCAATTTTCTGATTATTTGATCGATTACTATATTTGGACCGAATTTTGTCGTTCCGGTTCGATTTTACAAACATTGAATTCAATTGGATAGAAATTCCATGAATTCTATGGTTTTTGGTTATTTCTATTTTTTCTTTATTGTTGATGAAATAAGAGTCTTCCTTATTTCAATATACTTGAGGACTTCATTTGCAATTTCTTAAAAATTGCTAATAGAGTTTTTATAAAAGAGTAAGGTTAAATAATGTTGTGGTTGGATTTTTTTATTATTATTTTTTCCCTTCTAAGTAGAGTAGAAGACTAAAAAGATTTTTCTCAAAGTTTGTGTCGCTTATTCGATATTTTATAGGGAATCAACAAATTTTTGATACTAAACTTTAAATGATTGATCATCAGTTATTGATTATTGTTAAGAAATAAAATTTTACATCAAATAAAAATGGAAACATATATCAATTTATAAGGTTTTGACTTACTTCTCTTAACAAGTTTGACATTTTTAAATAAATCCTAAGTCTTAACATAGTATCGGAGTTTATTAAGTTTCAATGAGCGATTCGATCAAATTAAGATTCAATAAATGAGCATACAGATTTCAAGATTGGTCCGCTCAAATGAATCATCATCTTCTGGGGTATGTTAAGGGATGAAATTCCACATCGATTAAAGATGAAAGCATAGATCAACTTATAAGGTTTTGTAATACTTCTCTTAACAAGGTTAATTTTTTAAGATGAAACCTCAAGTTTTAACAAGTATTAACAAAATTAATGACATTTTGGGTATCACCTTTGCAATTTGGTTGCTTATCTTTCGATCGGGATGCAAACAGGATCACATAAATTAAATGGAACGGTAGTACTCTCATACAAATTATTTTTATTCCATCTTTTAATAACAAAAAATAAAACGTAATACAACATTAGAACGAAGGCTCAACCTTACCGTTAGCTAAATGTACACAAAAAAATAAAATCAGCAAACAATGATAATACATTACAACCCCACAATCAGTAGACTGAGAAATTTTTTATTTGATCAATCTAGGAAAGACACAGAGATGAAGTTAATGAAGACTCTTCACGGGAAATTTAGACCTGAAAAGAGAACAAAATGCAATTTGATAAGATAAAACAAAGTAGCGAAACTGTTATGACAAGTACACATATTATTACATTCAAATACAAATTTGAAATAAAATTAAATGAAAAACGTTGTCACATTTTGTTGAATATATAAGTGACGATGAGATCTCCACGAGGGACAATTATTTACTCTAACTTACGTCAAATTCCGCGGTGCAAAACATTCTTTGTTACTTTTGTTTTTGCAATTCGCATATGGATATATTGCCATATTGGGGGCAAAGAAATTAGCTAATAGACTTACTTCCACACTTGAAGCGACGAGGAACTCTTCTCCCACAACGTTTGAGGAGGTTTATGACCTGATCGACGTTGAGTAAAGAAGCGAGCTTAGGCGTGAACATAGGGCATACACACTCGAAATGGCTAACCCTCACTCGTTGGCAGCATTCAGGAGACGCAGGTTGTCCGAAAACCACCGGCCGGCATGTGTTGGTAGCCAGCCGTCTCTCTTCTTTGCACTGGCTAGGTCTCAACCCTTGACCATGCACCATTTTTGCGCCATGGAAAACCACCAGAGCTAGCACAAGAAAGGCCATCAAGGGAAATAAATGCATTTTTTTATCCATCAGACCTTTGAATTAATACAATATATATCGAGACGTTTGTGTATACATATATAGAGAGATTTGGGCCACGTAAATTGATTTTATTAGAGGAGACTAAAGTCAATGCCGGTCTATATCCTAGGTGACTAAAATAAATTAACTTTTCTAGAATTGATTATTCTCCGTGTACATACACAGTGACATTCCTCACACGTTGAGGGGAACCCACAAATAATTTATTATGCGTGGCCCCCCTGCATGTGACGAGATGTAAAAGATTGTATACATTGGAAGTGTACAAGTAGCATAATCCATCTAAAATAGACTTGGGTTGGTGCCGGTCTATACCCTAGTAACTAAACAATGGCGCCTTCATTTATTGGCCTTGTTGGAAAATATTGAGAATGCATTTTTCATGTTTTTAAAAGGTTATTAATAATTTTATTTTATTATTTAGTTAAAGTCAAATATTAATTTTAATCATATATTCAGAACTATTATTATTTTATTATTCACATATTTAGTGATACCCTATTCTTCTTAAAAAGTTACTAATAATTTTATTAATTTCCATCTTTTGTGTCAAATAAACGATGTAATCACTATACAAAAAATGGTCATTTGTAACCCATAAAATGCAACATTCAGTAGTTCAATGTTGCTAACAATGTTGGTAAAGGGGTTTATTGCTACATTTTAATAAGTGAATACTGCAATTAATTATTGTAATTGAGTTTTGACAACATTGTTAAAATAAATATTGTCAATGTTACTTTTCGGAACTTTTTTGAAAGCTGCAAAAAGTCTTTCAAACGTTGCGGAAGACAGTTTTTGTTGTAGTAAATTCATAATTAAGTATTATGTAGTTAGAGTAAATAAATAGTGGCAAGAAAAAGTATAAATTATGTA